GAAGTTAAGGGCACATTCATTTATAGAGTGCTGTGCTAGGTGTAGAAAAATGTCCATTGTTGGAAGGCAGGCAAGTGGAAGGTTTGTGAACTCTCTAGGTAAGTACATTGCCTCTTTATTTGATGCCAGGTTCTCTCTGGTTTTTGTTTGTTTGTTTGTTCTTTGAGACAGAGTCTCACTCTGTTGCCTGGGCTAGAGTGCCATGGAGTCAGCCTAGCTCACAGCAACCTCAAACTCCTGGGCTCAAGCGATCCTCCTGCCTCAGCCTCCCAAGTAGTAGCTGGGACTACAGGCATGTGCCACCATGCCTGGCTAATTTTTTCTATTTTAGTTGGCCAATTAATTTCTCTCTATATTTAGTAGAGACGGGGGTCTCACTCTTGCTCAGGCTGGTTTCGAACTCCTGACCTTGAGCGATCCTCCCGCCTCAGCCTCCCAGAGTGCCAGGATGACAGATGTCAGCCACCAGGCTAGCTGGTTTCTCTCTGTTTACAGCAGGGGTCCTCAAACTTTTTAAACAGAGGGGCAGTTCACTGTCCCTCAGACCATTGGAGGGCCGGGACTATTGTTTTAAAAAAACTATGAACAAATTCCTATGCACACTGCACATATCTTATTTTGAAGTAAAAAAAAAAAAAAAAAAAAAAAAAAAAAAGGGCAAAAACACCCGCATGTGGCCCACGGGCCATAGTTTGAGGACGCCTGGTTTACAGTGTAATGAGACCAGGCTGGGCTGAACCTAGAGGCAGAAAAGCCGGCATACAAGAATCGATACTCTTCCTGTGAAAAGATAAAAGGGAAGGGAGTGAGGGAAGGAAGTAGGAAGAGACCTACGGACAAAGTTGACAATGTTATGATTGTCCAATTTCCAATATTCATGACCTTGGGCTAGGCAACAGTTTCTTAGGTTTGACTGATGTGATTTCTACAAAGAGGAAGGCCATTGGCCCTACGTTCTCCTCGATACCAGGATCGTACAATCATTTGAAGTTTTGCTAGCATTTGATGACAGTTAAAAATTAGAGATGACAATTTGCTAATCAGATGAAAGAAATAAAATTTAGGTATGAGGAAGATTGAATATGGTGAAAATAGCCTCATAATAGATTCATACTGAAATGGTCTGATGTTTTGTTGTTGAATGGATAGACTTAAATTCTATTTATAAACTAGCAGTCAGAAAACAGAATTCAATTTATGATTTGCTATCATTTGAACTTGCATTTTATTGTAGATGTTTTTAATATCAGTGCACCTGTCAGATATGCCGAGAATTCGCACTTCGAATTAGAAATGACAGATGTCATCAACTGTCCCTACTTTTAATCAAAATTATTGTATTTTTTTTTTCTTATCACTGAAGCAGAGCAGGTTCAGTTAGGAAAAGAAACAGAATTTAATAAAATACCTCAATATTAATTCCCGTAAGTAACTTAATGTTATCAACATAGATTGTATCCTTACAGGTTTATACTTTAATTTTCTTCTTGTATTTGGTTTTAAAATACCAAAACAATTGAAACAATAAAAAAAAGCAGCACAAGTCCATTTTCTTTTTATGTATTCAATTCAGATGCTACATTCTCCCCCTGGTGAAACTGTATGGTGGTGTTTTTTTCTATTTTATTTTTTTCTAAGTTTATACAGGTATACCTATTATAAAGTATATAACTCGCAGGTGTATATGTTTCCTTAAAGTGTATCGTGAAAGTTTTTAAGCAAAATGTATCATAGACATTGCAGTCATATATAGCTGTTCTTTATTCTCGTAATATTGCCATGGTATTCACAGTATAGATATTCAGCAATTTTTTAAACTATTTCTCTATCGATGAATGGGCGATTGGCCCACTCTTTATTTTCATAAGGGCCATTTTAATGCTTTTAAAAAAAAAATTCTTCCAACAGACTATTTCCTCCTCCATCACTTCTGTGTGACCTCTACAACATTTCTTCTCTAGGAAGCTTGTTTCTTCCTCAGTAAAAAAAATCAGGCAAGTTTCTTAAATAAAGTGCTTGTAACACTAAAATTCTATGCAATACGCAACATGTATGTGATCATTCCTCATGCATAGACAGTATCTAAAGAATAGCCCTTTTTAGATTCTGCTTTTATTTTAGGTAATATTTCTATTTCAAAATGTAAGTAGTGCCGGGCCGGGGCGAGGTGGCTCACGCCTATAATCCTAGCACTCTGGGAGGCTGAGGCGGGCCAAGGTCAGGATTTCAAAACCAGCCTGAGTAAGAGGGAGACCCTGTCTCTACTACAAATAAAAGGAAATTAATTGGCCAACTAAAAATACATACAAAAAAAAAAAATGAGCCGGGCATGGTGGTGCATGCCTGTAGTCCCAGCTACTCAGGAGGAGGCTGAGGGGGGAGGATCGCTTGAGTCCAGGAGTTGGAGGTTGCTGTGAGCTAGGCTGACACCATGGCACTCTAGCTCGGGCAACAGAGTGAGACTCCGTCTCAAAAAAAAAAAAAAAAAAAGCAGGTGCTGAAACTTTATATAATGAATTAATATTGCAACTCTGCAACTCATAGTAGCTGAGCGAATGTTGTCTGAGCCGTGATATCCTGAGTGTTGGGTAAAAATATTCGCTGAAAGAAGAAAGTCAAATCCGGGGAGAGAGTTTCAACATAGAGACCAACACTGCGGGGTCCACAGCCAGATGCCTGAGTTCTAATCTTGCCACTTTGAGTATTTTTTTTTCGCAACTGCTTTTAAAGTGGGGATTACAAATAGTGCTTTTAAATGGTGCTGTTATGGAGACCAAATGAGCCACTCACTGCAAGAGAAACCTGTGCCTCTATCACGAAAAGGTATCTCACTGCACGTGAAGGGGAAAACATCACCCTGAAAAAAGCAAAGCCGAGACAGATTTAAATCAGAAAGCAAACAAAGCGAACTTCCCTTAGACCTATCGAGTACGCATGTGAGAATGTTTGTGCCTGAAACTTGGGGTGGAAGTTGGGAAGGAGAAGAAATCGCAGAAACCAAACAGGCAAAAACCCTGCAATAGGAACAAATGTAAAATTGTCTGATACCACCTGCTGGCTATTGCTAGAAATGGCAGAAACAAGAGATTCTGATAACGACATTGTTGAGTATATTTTCCCCTTCAGCCTAATGGACAGAGTAACTCCCTACCCTCAAGATAAAATAAAATAAAATAAAATAAAATAAAATAAAATAAAATAAAACAACATTTACAGATACAGTCTAAGCACAACTGTGAAAGGTTGCAATCTTAACTCTGAATTGTACTATGTCTGAATGATAAAACCACTGAAACTTCTACGTGTTGGAGAGAGAAATTAGAATCTTAATAACTTACCTTTCTCCTAAAACCTAATCAACTCAAACCTTACACATTGAAACTTGGAAGGATGTAGAAACAATTATAGAAGAAAATGTTTACAAGGCTAGTTACAGTGTGTACTAACAACTGTTTAGGGGATCACAAATTGTTCTGCTCACCTGAATACATCATGGATTTAATACATCCAAAACTCATAACCCTCTCTCCCCCAACCTTTCCTTCCCGAAGTCCTTTTCTCAGTGAAAGGCTCCCTAATCTAAATGATGAATCTAAATTCGTATTCCAGGTTGAAGTTTTGTCAGTTTGGGCAATTGACTGTGCGTGCTGTTTGCTCCAATGGAAATCTTTTCTTTGTCACTTGTTCACTTCTTTTTCATATAGCTAACTCCTATTCCTTGACTTATTATTGAATTCCTGCTAAATGGCAGGTACCGTGTTTCCCCCCAAATAAGACAGGGTCTTATATCTATTTTTCCTCAACAAGACACCCCAGGGCTTATTTTCAGGGGATGTGTTGTTTTTTTTAAGTACGGTACAACCATCTCCATTGATTCAAATAGAGTGAAGTCGTCTTCTTCTGGAACATCATCCTCACTCTCCAAACCCCGAATTCCATCCTGAATGTCTTGTGACTCTGTTTCCTTTAGAACCATCAGCCCCGATCTCTCCTGTGGAGCACTAGAGCTCTCACGGGGCGGATGAGAAGGGCTGCTCGTGTTCTTTCCCGCTCCGCGACGACACGCATGGGTTGTGCAGATGCGCTGCGCAGCCACGCCCGACACTAGGGCTGATTTTCGGGGTAGGGCTTCTATTGCACAAATGCTTAGAAATCCTGCTAGGGCTTATTTTATGGGTAGGGCTTATTTTCGGGGAAGCACGGTAGTTTTGCAGGCACTGGGAACACATAAATTGAAACAGCAACGATCCCTGCACCATGGAGGGCATCTTCTACTAACTCTGCAGTATCGACAGCTCAGGTGTGACAGTCTGCAGAACTTCTTCCCTAAAGACACCTGTGACCTGGTCTTGTGCCTACCTCTGTCCTATCCTATCTTTTTCAAATATTTTAGTTAGTCCATTACAACTAATGGACTGTATACCCTAGTATACCCTAATAAAACTATAAGGATTTTAGTTTAAAATCCTTATAGGATTTTATGCCCTAATAAAACTAATATACCCTAATAAAACTATAGGGTATACCCTAATAAAACTATAAGGATTAGGACCTGTTTGTCTTCTCCCCAAAATGAAAAAGGGCGCCTAGGAGTTCATTAACTTGTTTTTAATGAATTCGTAAAAAATTCTTGAAACTATTCCCCTAATGATCTGTAACAGAGAAGCATTTATTAAGATAATTTAAAAAAAAAATTCCTTCATTTATGAAGTCAGCATGAATTTAGTCCCTACTTTGTGCTGGGCACTGTGGAGGTGTGAGTGGAATGTGAGCAAAACCAGATAAGCTCTCTAAGAGATATTTAAAAATAAGAGTACGGATTAACCTAACAGCACGACAGGTCAAGGTCTGCGATGACCCACCATAAGGCAATCAACCTAGCCAGTGAGACTGGGTAAGGCTTCCCGAAAGAAATAAGGGGAAAAATTAAAGGGGTCACCAGAAAAGGAAAGATAGTGCTCAACTAGAAAGTAGAATGTGCAGAAGCTCGGGCACATGTCAAAGGCCAGGGAATTCGGGAGGACGAGTAAGGAGGGGGCAAAATGACAAGGCAGAAAACAAAGGCTTCATGGAAGACGAAGAGGCCAGAAGGGAAGGCAGAGGCCAGAGTATTCAAGGTGTGTTTGGTGATAGTAAGGTAATAAAACTCGATTTCAAGAGCAATGGGAGGAAGGGCGAGGTGGCTCACGCCTGTAATCCTAGCACTCTGGGAGGCCGAGGCGGTCGGATCGCTCGAGGTCAGGAGTTCGAAACCAGCCTGAGCAAGAGCAAGACCCCCGTCTCTACTATAAATAGAAAGAAATTAATTGGCCAACTAAATATATATATATATATATATATATATATATATATATATATATATATATAAAAAATTAGCCGGGCATGGTGGCGCATGCCTGTAACAGTCCCAGCTACTCAGGAGCCTGAGGCAGAAGGATTGCTTGAGCCCAGGAGTTTGAGGTTGCTGTGAGCTAGGCTGACGCCACAGCACTCACTCTAGCCTGGGCAACAAAGCGAGACTCTGTCTCAAAAAAAAAAAAATTTAAAATTTAAAAAATTTAAAAAATTTTTTAAAAAAAGAGCAATGGGAAACCATTATAGAGTTAATTTTTAAAAAGTATAGTGATATGATCAGTATTTCTTATTTAAAAGATTATTTTGTCTATTATGCAATCTATAGTTAAAATAGTATATTTTATTTCCTTTTCTGTTTTTTTTCCCCCCCAAGATTTGTCTCTGGTTTACTGCAGTTTGAGTGTGATGTATGTTTTCTGTTGTTGTTCTTTGTTTTATAAATTCATCCTTCTGATGTTCTCTGAGCGTTCTGGATCTGTGCTTTGTGTCTAACATTAGTATTTG